TGAATCCAATAAAGTTCTTTGTATTGTTTCAATATTATTAATTGCATGGCCCTCATAGCACCTCTTTATATCACACAGTCACCAGAATTAGAAATTGCTTTGAAAACTAAAAACAGGGCACAGTCTGCTAATTAGAAGTTTCACACTGTTACGAAATAGAAACCAGGTGCATGGTACATTGCAGCTGCAAAAATGGAAGCCTGCAGATTTGACGAGGGAGCCTAATCATGTTTTTAGACAATGTTAGGGAGATGGCAATACTGTTGAAGGAAAATACTCAACACAGCAGGAAATGGACCAGGAGAAAAAAAAGCATCCTATAACCAAATAAATATCTGATTATTTCCTTTCCCTTTGAGAAGAGATACAGTGAAGGTCACTTTTAGCCTGGGAATGGATATATGTTTGCCTATGATGACCTTGCTAATGATTACGTGGTATCTGGCATCCTCTGCTAGGATTATAGTTTTGAGAAAGCCATAGTTACAAGAGGCATCTACTATAAATTCCTAGAATTTCCTTTTATGGCAACCACTAAAGAATTCACTTGTCTTAACAGTGAACAAGGGAAGATGGCCTCATGTTTCCTTTGCAATACTGTACTCGTTTATTTCTGAGTACTCTCCTTAGGGGAAGGATCTGGAACTGACACTTCCATGGGAAGACAGAAGCAGATAAATCCAAGGCGCTGGATGTGTGTGGGGCTGGGAGGATGGAAGGCACCTGGGAGCATGGGAGGGAAACAGCCCAGACTTCTGGTGTAGGGATGGCGTATGGGAGGAGTGTGCTGTTCCTGAACCGAGTCCCAAAGGATTACTGATGCTGAAGGGTGTGCAGAGGGTTTCCTCGCAGAGCGGCAGCATGCACCTGTTCTGGAGATCTGACAAACCACAAGTGCCCAGGATCACCCCATGATCTCAGTCTAACCAGTGATCCAAATCCAGTCTAGACAGACCCTGTTATCAATGGAGCACTAGAAACCACTTGGACACACAGGCTTTATGTGAGAAAAAGCTGGATTCTATTCTGTCTGAGTGCAAATGGGCTGAGATCGTGAATGATTTCAGCAGCTGGCCGAGGAGAAGTTAGGTTTTCATAGGGTTTGGGGATGGGTTTATAATCCCAAGGAATCTGGGTGGAATGTTTGGCGTAAAGGCTCCCAGGAAGGTCAGTGCAGATGTGTAGGTAATACTGGACTTTCCAGTGCTGGGGAGATTGTATGTCTTGTCCTAAATTTTCTTTATGGTCATCTGTCCTGTTTGCTGAGGGCAGCATGGCCCTTTAGTGGTTTTCTGTTGTGTGGGGAGGGCGACATATGTGCTGAGAGGGTCTCTCTCAGATCAGACATGACAGACTCCAGCTATAGACATTTGGGGTCAGATTGTAAGGGGGGAATTTTACTCTGAATTTATGAGGAGTCCTGAAGGAGTTCAACCAGGGGAGTCATGTGTAAGATTCACAAACAAGGATTAACCCGGCAGCGATGTGGAAATTGGCAGGAAGGAGGAGCTCTGGTGAGGTGGGGCAGGGGAGTTAGGCTGTCAGAGCACTAACCAGTGAGGTGGAGTCTTTATAGACAAACAGGAAGGCTAGATGAAGAGGAAGGAAGGGATTTCAGAGATTAGGAGGAAGAGATGTCAAAACTTGGATGGGGGAAGGAAAGGAAACTCCAGTCTAGGTCCTAGGGATAGAAGGACAAAAACTAGGACAGAAACAGCGGAGGAGCATCATGAAGGAGCCTCAGATGCCCTTGCCTGGGGAGTTAATGGCTTTGGGATGCCCCATAACACGCAGGGACATGTGAAGTTGATTGGTTGGGCATGCAGATATAATAAGACAAAATATAAATTCCTTACTTTTCTGCTTCTTTCCTAGACATTGCCTTCATCTCTGACTCAGTCAGCATCCACATGGTCTCAAAGAGAATTAGAATGAAATAGTACCAAAGGAGAAAGAAAATATTAATACTTTTCATTTTAAAAAGCTTCAGAACTAAGCCCTTGAAAGTCAAAAGGCAGGGCTGGGGATTTAGCTCAGCGGCAAAGCGCCTGCCTGGCAAGCTCAAGGTCGTGAGTTTGGTTCCCGGTACTGGAGAAAAACCAAAAAAAAAAAAAAAAAAAAAAGAAAGTCAAAAGGCAAGGCCCTTGATGGAACAGAAGCTATCAATTACATCAGAACAGTGCTGGCACCAGTGTTCCTTTGGGCCCAATCAGCCAACAGCCAAATACAGAGCAAGCTCTTTTGCTAAGCGAAGCCGTGGAACCCAGGGCTTTAACTACAGAGAGAAATAACTGATCTGGGCTGGGTGCTGTGTCCCGTGACAACTACCAAGGATTTGGAGATTAATGGCTGCATTTCACAGGCACAGCATTAACCATGGGAAGTTCAGACATTTCTGTGAATAATCTCCGGAGGTGCATTTATGGTTACACAATAGAGAACAGGACGGTTATAAGCCTTACACAACGAGTTTCATTCTCTCACACGCTTCTGCCTTCATCTTACACCTGTGTCAATAACTTCATCTCCCCAGAGGTTCTTTTCACAAGCGATGGTTAATTAAGGAGCTTTGAGGTTCTGGCTCTAGGCAGGATTTTATTAACCAGCAAGAACAGAACATAGAGGGCTTGTAAAAATGTAAGGCTTAATAAAAAAAAAATATAGAACATTACATATATTTAAAGAAAAATGGTGAGGTGTGTAATATTATTCCCTTGCCCATAAAAAGTTAGAATGGGAATAAAGAGAAGTGAGATGAGATACTGTTTTTTGAAGAGGGTTACCCAAAATGGCAAGGCCCTGGCATTGGAGGTGTGTGTGGAGAGAGAGAGAGAGAGAGACAGAGACAGAGACAGAGACAGAGAGAGACAGAGACAGAAATGAATGCTTTTGTTTAAAAGTCAGTCCAAACTCAACAGTGTTCAAATCCTGGACTCTACCAATTATTAGCTCTGTGACTTCAGGCAAATTACTTAGCTTTTCTTTGCCTCAGTTTTCTCATTTCAAAGTTGAGATTTACAATCATAATAACCTGTGTGATATAGTTGTTATGAGGAATAAATGAGTTCGTATATGTGAACCCCTTAAAACGATGCCTGATACAATAGGTACTAGGTAAATGTTTGCTATTGCTATTGTTGTTTGATTTTGAAGAGAAAGAACCATCAGAAGAGTCAGTGGTAAAGACTTAGGAGAGAAAGGTGATTTAGATGGCATGTGAGAGGCGAAGGGTGGACTGTGGAGTGCAGTGCTCCAGTTCATCACCGTGGGCAGGAGGAAAGATCTTTTCTCCTGAGAGTGGGGAGATGGGCTAAAAAGGGCTATAGATGCCCTTTGAAGGGTGGAAGTTGTGTAAGAGTCTTTAGATGATCTCATTTTGTTTTTTTGGTTTGTTTTGTTTTTGCTTGTTGACACAGGGTCTAGCTATATAGTTCAGGCTAACCTTGAACTCACTATGTAGCCCAGGCTGTGCTCAAACTCACTGTGATCTTCCTGCCTCGGCCTCCCAAGTGCTGGGATTACAGGTGTGCACCACCGTGCTGGGCTTCCATTGCATTCTGAATAGTTGCAGAGGTGGGTAGAGGGAATTACCACCTCTTACTATCCCTCCTGTTTGGCCTCCTGATAAATCTCCTTGCTGTCTCCTTTCCAGTAATGATCCAACACAACACAGAATATGGAATGACCAATAAATTCTTCTTTTTTTTTTTAAGTATATGTGCTGCTGAAGCGAACACAATAAATTCTTCTTGATTACTCTGGCAGAAGATAAGATACAAAGCCAAAAAAAATTTCTCCCCATTTAAAAAAATTGCAATTCATGACTGTATATGAAGATACATGCAAGACCATCCGTTTCTTTTATGGACTTGTACATGGAGCGGCCACTAGACATACAAAACATTCCCCAAAGTGGGCTGGGATCGTTTTTTGAAACTTAGAAGTCAAATAGGTAGTTAATGAAACTGCTGTCACCAGGACAGTACACTGAGTGTGTGAATGTGTGTGTACAAAAGCACACTGATATGCACTATGTCACCATGTGATAAAACCGTAAAAACAAACAAACCAAAACGGTCATTCATTCCTTCTAGGCCCACTTTGAATGTTGATTTTCCTCCAAGTGCTGGAAAGGGTGCTCTCTTTGAAGGTCTACCTCACCGTGCTCCTGTTAGGGAAATACTCCGTTTTCTCATATTGAATGTGTGTGTACGCGGGGGAATATATTCTTTTTCACCAGAATTTGTTCTTCTGAAGGGCAGCCTGTGGCTGTAAAATCAGTATGTCCTTTCTTGCGCTTCTCTTTCTCCCATTTGTTTTGGAATAATCCCTATCTGGCAGCCAGTAGAAACAGGAAAGGAGAAAAAAGGCGAAAGGAAGAGGAATTGGGCGTGTTATGTCCTTCGCGGCCTCCCGTAGTGCAGGGCGGCCGCGGGGCGGGCGCTGCGGCGCGCGGCCTTTTCAAAGCGTGAAGCGCTGGAGACGTAACGGCTGTTGCCAGGCTGCGCGCCGCGCCACGGCCGCCTCCGGTGCCCGCTGTCGTCGCTTCGCTCTTTCTCTCTGCCCTGGTGTGCGGCTGTGGTAAGGCGAGCTGTAGGCTTTTCTGCCCTGCTCTTAAGCCTAGTTTTTACCCGAGCAAGGGGAGCCTTCGGGGCCCTGGAGGAGCGCGGCGGCGGCGGCTTGGAAACGGGGCGCCGCCCGAGTGGGCCTCGGGGTCGGCTAAAAACTCTGCCCTTCCTGGAGTGTCGCGGGGAGGGGGCCCCGCGTTCGCCGAGCCGCTCCGCTGGCGCGGCCTGGTGTTCTGGGCGGGGCGACTGGCCGCCGTGGCGGCCGGAAGCGGACCCGACGCCCCCCCCAGCTCTGCGGGCGGGCGGGGCGGCGGCCCGGGGCCGCTGGGGTCCCTTCTCCCCAGGAGCCTCGTTACATTCGGCTTTCTTCTGTCTTGTATTTTTGTTTTCATCACCTTCCACTTTCCTCCTGTTCTTTTATTTTGATGGTAAAGTAATGGTAAAATACGTTGATGGTAGAGGCTGCCATCTCCCTACGTCTTAGCTTTGCCGTCAGTATTTCGTTGAATCATGGGGTGGTTCAGGGTCCAAAAGTTACTGACGTCTGTTCCAGAGGACCTGTTGGGTAGCTTGCTGAGTCCTGTCAACTTTTTGATACTCTTTTTGATGCTTTTATCTTTACAAGAGACCGGGATCTGGGATTAGTGTGCCTGGTAAGGTTGAGCGGCTGTAGGATGTGTGGACAGGCTTTGAGACAGGGTTTGGGTTAGTGGACAAAAGCCACGAAGGCCTAAATCCAATGGCGCGTTCGGTCATGAACAAAGCTGCCTTCAGACAGCTGTGAAGTGGATGGGATATGATATAGTGAAGTGCAAGTAATCTCAAAGTGGAAGGTGAGACTGAGTCCTCCAGTGGCCCTAAAATGTGCGGGAATGTTAAGTAATTTATATTTCAACCTAGTTTTTGATTAGCAGTGACTTTAAAAAATTTTTTTCTGCTGTGTCTGCATCAGATTTTCATGCTACAGCACTAGGGAGGCGGAGGCAGGAGGATCGCTGTGAGTGCGTAGTCAAGCTGGGCTACATAGTGAGTTCAAGACCAACTTGAACTGTATAGCAAGATGCTGTCTCAAAAAAAGAAAAGAAAAGGAAAAAAAACTAAAAAATCAATAGCAGTACAATTTCTCATAGCTAAATCCTGGAAACAGCCCAAATGCCCATCAACTGAAGAATGGATAAAAAAGATGTGGTCTTTTACATAATGGAGTACTACTCAGCCATAAAGAAAGACAATCTTGAGCCTTTTAATAGGTAAATGGATGCAACTAGAGACAATACTCATAAGCGAAAAAAAGCAAACTCGCGTATGTAAACATTGTATTGCCTCCCTAGTGTAAGAAACTGAAAAAGTAAAAAAGACCCAAAATCTACAATAGATTTTGTGAAAGGGAAAAGAAAAACTGCTCAAAAAGAAAACTGGGATGAGTGAAAGCAGAGAAGGAAGGGAAAAGAAAATATATATAGATAAAGTAGTTTTACTACGGACTTCTTTTAGTTCATTGAGAAAAACTGGTTGTGCTTACATTGTTTGATCAGTTATGCATGCCTATCTGAGCAACTAATTTGAAGATAGTATGCAATATATTAACCACTGTTAATCTATTATCTTGTCCTGAAATTCTGTATTATTTATTTTCTTTTCTCTTTAAAATAAAAAAAAAAATTAAAAATCTTCGTGCTGTAGGGGAAAAGGTAGTGAGACTTTCCAGCTGGTTCTGTTTGTCAAAGTTGTTTTGCATTCTACTTTGCTGGCTCCTCAGGCTGCCTTTTCCTCTTCCTAGAGCTACCTCTTCTCTTTCTACACTAACGCCCTATTTCAGTGGTGGTAAAACTATGGCATGAATGCTGCAGTGAGCTGTTTGTATCATTGAACGTTGTTATTGAATCATTGAAAGTTCTGTTTTACTTTTAATGTATGAATTTTTTGTGAACTAAAACCTCAGTATTCAGTTTTAACTGCAGTGTTGGCCCTTTGCTATAAAAAAGTAGGCTTCGGGATGCAGTTTGGGCGTTTGGTCTCTAAAAGTTTTGCCATCATTGCCCTATATGTCCTGAACTTGGCTTTAATACCGTGCGTGTACTGATAATCCACAAATTGACGTCTTTAATTTGGAATCCAGACTGCCTATTTAACATTTTCACCTAGATGTCTAAAAAGACACCCAAATATGACCTCTCAATCTTAATGGTACCCCCATTTTCTCAGTTGCTTCATCAAGAGAAATTGGAGCCATTTTTGACTTTTTAATATTCCTAACCCTCATTCACCCATCAGGAAATCAGGACATTTTCTGGAAAATTATTATAAATGGAATCATCATATATGTGGCCTTTTGCATCTAGCTTCTTTCATTTAGTATGCATATTTTCAAGGTTTATTCATGTTGTAGAGCAGTTTATATTGTATGCCAGTGTACTGTACATCCATAGTTTATTCCTTTTTATAACAAATGTTCCTTTGTATGTCTATACTATTATTTGGTTTATACATTCATAATCTAAGGGATACTTGAAGTATATAAAAAACCTTTTTACAACTCCTGGTCAGTTTGAGAGAGAGATACACTATGTACCTCTTTGAACTAGGTGCTTTTTTTTTTTCCACAAAGTGCATATATTATTTTATAATTAAACACAAAACCCCACTAACTACAATAATATGATAATGGATTTGTACCTCTCTCAGTTTTCTCACGGTAAATAAAATTGAACTAAATATTTGCTGAGGTGTTTTTTAGTTTTCAGATTTTGTTTATGTGACAAAATGAGTGCTAATGTTACAAGTTTTCTTCATGAATGAGAGCTGTATTCTTTATAACAGCAGTGTAACTTTTCTTTAGTTTCATCATAGGACCTAGAGTGGTTGCTAAAATGGAAGGAATCAATAATTTCAAGACACCAAACAAATTATCTGAAAAAAGGAAATCTGGTAAGAAATCTGGTATCTTCTTACCAGGTATCTTCTTCATTGTTGCTGTAGAAATGCCTTTGTATTATTGCGGTTTGCTTCTTTATTATCTTTCATGCAGTTTTAGCCAACTCTTCAGGATGTCAGTCTTAACGAATAAACCTAATAGACAAAGTTTGGTCACCTGTGGACTATTTTTGCTGACACCTTAATGACTTGAAGAATCAGTTTAGCTTGAGTCTGTAAGAACTCGCTTTAAGTTCCCCATTCCTTCCACGCATTGCTCTCATGAGGGAAAGGTATTTTCTAAGGCAATTCAGTAAGTAAAGAGAAATCTTCAACAAACAACAGTATGTCCATGTGCAAAACCAAATCTCGACCCTTTACTCACATCATACACAAAAATGGCTAAAATAAGAAAATTTCATTTTAATAGGAGAGAATCTTAGGTTGTTCATTTCTGGTGTGTAGATTTCTTTGTACTCTGCAGCAATGCTAAACTCACTTATTCTATTATTTTTTTATTTGATTTTTCTTTTTTCTGGCACTGGGGGTTGAAACTAGCCAGAGACTTTCACACTGAGCTGCATCCTCTGTACTTTTTCAAAAGTTTTATTTTGAGACAAAAATCTTACTAGGTTGTCCAGGCTTTCCTTGCACTTGCAATCCTCCTTGGCCTCTCTAGTAGCTGGAGTTACAGGTGTGCGCCACTATGCCTAGCTCTTGTAGCTTTTTTATAGGTTGCTTAGGATATTGTAAGTAGTTGGTCACATGTAGATGAATAAGTGTACTTTACTTTTCCCCCAATCTGTATGACTTTATTTCTTTATCTTATTGCACTGGCACCAGGGTT